CGGAGAGACATAGAAGCATCCATAGCGATCAGGCCTATGCGTGTGCCAACCGATATCGTACCATATTATGAAGCAACGCCCAGAACAAATGCAATCTAGGTTGATGACAGCACTCCAATAGAACTCTTCGCATGTTGTTCCTCATTCCCAGGAGCGTCAGTGGGTGCGTGGCAAATCCAACTCCTGGGAAGTAACGAGAAAATAGGCAAAAAGTTTCCGCTGCGCAATATCATGTTATGTCACGCATAGAAACCTAAGCCCTTTACTTGCGAAGTTCCGGGTTCTTGGGCCATGAGAAGAATCGCAATCGTGGTGCACAGGCCTTCAAGGCGTCCATATTGTCCTGACAATTTGCGTTAAACTGTTAACCTATTTATGTGGAAAAACAACATGAATTAATCACGGATGTCCTGATAGACCTTTCTTTTCTTCGTACTCTTGGACATGGCGGGCGACTTGGGAGCCTTTCGTTTCTTATGCTCAGGAGTCTCAGGAACCTTCTTGATCTCACCTTTTCCTTCTTCTGGTGCGCCATCACGAGCTGAAGAGGCTGAGGCTTTCGCTTTGGGTTTCCGCACACGCTTGGGCTTGGGCTTAGGGCTGATGGAACCCTTGCCACCCTTTTCTTCCCGCTCTTTTGCCTGCTCAGGCTCACCTTCTGCCTTTTCACGCTCACCTTCTGCCTTCTCACGCTCACCTTCTGCCTTCTCACGCTCACCTTCGGGCTCATCTCCCTCCTTTGCTTCCTTGCCACCCTTTTCTTCCTGCTCTTTTGCATTCTCAGGCTCACCTTCTGCCTTTTCACGCTCACCTTTTGCCTTCTCACGATCACCTTCTGCCTTCTCACGCTCACCTTCGGGCTCACCTCCCTTCTTTGCTTCTGTTTGCTTACTCCTGCCCCTACCTCTGCCTTTGCCCCTTCCCCTTCCTTTCCCCTTCTTGCCAGGTCCCTCCTCGTCGGAACTGTGTTCATTCTTGTGTTTCTTGTCAGGGTCTTCCTCCTCCTCGTCTCCTTCTGCATCCCTCAGTGCTTTGCGAAGAACTTTCTGACCCTGCCAACAAACGCACACATGATTGACAATGCATGACCAAACATGCAATCCATGTGCACACCTCAAACACGCTTCCATGAAAAGATAATTCATGTGTGAGAAATGTAAATTGAGACCAAAGCCTCCAGCAGATCCATGTTGTTGGTGCTCATTAGCTTTTCAAGCTTCTTACATGAATCTTCCGTTTGCGCACGAAGTGAATCCGAGGGCTCAGGTATCTCGGCTAAGGGTCTTGTGTCCTGCATGAGCCATGAGAAGCATGAGCACCCACGTATCCAACCGTTTATAGATAGACAAGTAGTACAAATTAACATATTGACATAGTGCGCAGCAGTCCTTGAATGTGCCCTTTACATTTCCTTTGGGGTCTGTTTCTCCATCATTCTCAACCAAAATTTCACCAGGCACATCAGACTCAAAAACACTGGGGAAGAGCTCGGCTGGTGCTTCAGGATCAACAATTTCCATTTGAATATCTGCGTGTGTGCGAACAGTGTCTATGCATTCATCTTCACTCATGCTCTCTTCCTCACCACCTTCGTGCTCAGTTTCCTTGACACCTTCTGCCTCAACAGCTTCGGACTCTTCCATCGGTGGATCCAGCTGTGGATCCAGCTGTGAATCATGGATCATCTCCGGCTGAACAGTTGCGGTTCCACGGTCCTATAAAATCAGTCAGGCATAAGCAAAAAAAAGTGGGCCTGGCATGCATCCACTCGCACTCTCGAACAATATGCATGCAATGCAATATGATTGACCGCCATCAAAAACACAAAATTAAAGCACACGACATCCTGGGGTTTCGGTTTTGCTGTTGGGGTCGTCGAGCGGCCACGTGTGGCAACCTTCTTGCCCTTCTCCGTGAGAATGCCCAACTCCTGCAAGCAATTTAAGGAAAATAACCTAGCTCGTGCATCGTGTACTGGAGTCACAATACTTGCTGGGACCGCAGAAAATCCAAAATTCTCCTCAAGCCTCATCTTGACCAAGGTTTTCAACACTTCCATGCGAGGGTGCGATTTCCTGCAAAGATAGTCTCTAGGATTAGCAAGACCCCTACACTGCGGTCTTTCAAGAATGATTTTTTTAAACTTAAATTTGATTGTCCTGCAACTCTGGGTTCTGTTGAACCGATTGAGAACGTAGCTGGCGAGGGCGCGGTGCAAACCAGCTTCGATATTGGCCCATGCCTTCGCTGCCGGAGGACCCGATCAAACAAATGTGGAACAGTGAATTGTCGCTAGCACATCAGACTCGACTTGACATTATAATTTATCCCAGTGGCCTGATGACCATGCTTGGAATCAAAGTGGTTCCACTTCTTTGTTTGCGAGAGCTCAGTGAGCACTGCCTGCAAAGAGGGGCGGGAACAGAGATATTTGAGATAAAGATCAGATGATATGATATAGAAATGCTGGATATCGAATGAATCGAGTTCAAAGCAAAGACACCGGCTAATCATACTTCTTTGTCTCGTACTTGTTGATTTGAAAATTATCAATGGAACAAACTGGCCTCCGTTTCCTTTTGTGTGGGCATATCTCCACAGAATTGCGCCAAGAAGGCGCTAGTGAACTCATAGTTCACTAGGCGTTCTGCCTGAAGTGTACCACAGAATTGGAGCAACACCAAGGATGTTCAATTCCACATATTTTCAATCATGAAGCAGAATAGCCTCTGTCTCCGAGATATGCTTTGCATTGATCTCAACAATGCTGAAGACCTGGATTGATCACCAGGAGATGCCGCTGGAGAACGAGACCACCAAGAAATCCGAGGCTTGTGAAGAATCTTATGTCGTGTCGACAGCTGTTATACTAGAACGAACTGGTTTTAGGAATTAAATATAACAACTATAAATTCGATCTGCATAACATGCCAGCCCGGCTGCATTGCGACCAGACTTCCGCCGCATCTCACGTTTGCGTTCCTTCACGTAGCCCGGGGTGACATAGTCATCGTAGAAGCCCTGCAAAGATCAGTGCAGTGGTTGATCAATGATATCATCATCGCAGTACTCGAATATAACTAATTCAAACTAGCAACCCCTCATCAATCTACAAATATAGGTTTTCTTATGATATGCCCTCACCAAGCGTACTAGGCCTTCAAAAGAGCCATTCGCTCTGAGGATAGTTGCGACTTCGGCATGGTGCTCTGACCCAACCACCACTCTGATCAAAAAAAGGGGCTGCGGATCGGCTGAGGGTGCAGGGCAGTTTCCACGAAATGAGGTTTCTTGAGATGTGCTGCAATGTAAGGCGGGGCGAACCTAAAGTAGATTCAGGAGAGGCCACAGAGACATCTCCTTCTCCAGCATCTTCATCAGCATACCATTGGTTTCCATGTCCTGGGCCAAAATTTTAATTAGAGGGGTCAAATTGGTGAGTCTCTGAGCTGCTTACCTTGAAGTAGGGCTTTTCTCATCGAAAGCCATGGCTCATCACGAACATGGGCTGGCAACTTCCTATTGCAGTTATACATGATCTTTGGGATATGGGCTGACATGGGCTGACCTGCCCATGATTTTTTGGACAGGCTGACCAGCCCTGCATCGCAAAAACAATTCTGAACATATGAAATTTGTCATGATGCCCATAGTTGCCCCATCTTGGGCCAGAGTTCCCACAACGCAAGCCATGTCTCGACCTGATCCAAGGCCCCATCCTGAACGTAGGTCGAGCACGGTCGTTCGAAAGCTCTGGGAGGGGTCTCCAGGGGTAAACATTAGTCCTTTGGAAAGACTAAACTTTATATAGTCGAGGAAGCCCTGGGTATATATATATATACAAATGTAGCCACAGCGCTATATCAATTACATGATGTATGTTTTAGTGGCCAAGTGAATGTCTCTCGACCTCCAGACCTGTGGGTTTTGTGGGAGCCCTCAAGACGAGCCTCATAAGACGTGCAGGTGGTATTTGTGGTCTCCCAACTCAACATGAGCTGAAGACACATCCCGGCTTAAATTCATGATCCCAGCCGCAAATCATAGCAGCTCGATTTCGTGTAGGCAACAATTGCTCATGTACCACGTTGTATGCTTGCATTTTTACACGAGCTTCTTCCTATAAATAGCAGCCTTCTTGCCTACAGAATCAAGCAGTACGTCTGTCGTGTAGCAACTTGTGGTCCCCGAACTGGGTAAGTGGTCAAAGTTGCGAAGTGGTCTGGTGTGGATCTAGCGCACTCCTCTGCTAGAGCACACGTTGCGGTCCAGGCTTGGCTTGCTGGCTTTCAACAAGTTGTCTTCCACACACGGTGCAATCTAAAGACACTAGGAATATCCTCTTGGGCCTAGGTGTGTCTGTGTGTGTGTGGATGGACGTGAAAGCAACCGTTTTCGCGACACGTGTGCGTCGACGCAGCGACGCGACGGAGTCACGACGGGTGGAGATCTGTACCAACCGAACAGTCGAGCCATGAACATCTGCACATATCTGTACAAACCACGTACGACTAGCACCATCTCTAGCGCAAACTTCGTGCAACGCTGCGTTGTCCTAGCGCGACGAGGTAGCATATCCAATTAAAACACCGGAATTCCAAGCGGTGGCCGTCTGCGGTTTCTGAATCCCTGGACGCGTTCCTTACTTAATAAAACATATTAAGTTGTCGATGGCTTGCCTCACTTTAACATGAAATAATTATGTTTTCACATTTTTCACTGATACAAATTGAATCATCCATTGCAGCTGCAAAATCCGTAGATGAACACTCCAATGATCTTTTTCTTTTTTAGGGGAACATGGCAAGGACAACAAAGCTCCTTAATGAACTATAGGCAAGTGATCCGTAAGCACATCTGTTGTTTTTTTAATTGATCTAAAAGTCGCCCACTTTCGCTGCCCAACGGCAGGTGCCAAGAAGACCCAAGATCAAATGAAGGGACGACCTCTGCGCCGTACGGCGCGCGGGGCGCGCGAGGCGCGCGAGGCGCCCGTGCACCTGGAACGGGCTCCATGCTACGCTGCTGGCCGCCCTCGAAGCCTTTCACCTCGTCGGGCCTTGGGCGGACAGCGAGCGCACGGACAGCGGGCGCTCGTAGGGAGTTGTTGGGTTAAAGAAGAAATTACACTTGGATTGGTGCGTGGAAGGAACCTGGAAGACATATATTCAGTATCCATACTAGTACCATCTAGTATCCATGCATATACTATCTATATATCTATTACTATTTTATATACATATTCTAGATGATGTCCATGGACCCCGGACCCGGGCCCTTAGCATCCTATTACAACTCCAAATGACCCGGCATGCACCCACCACCTTCACGTCTCCCACCATGGAGTTTCTCTCTTCATCCGGTCATCGAGTCTACCTGGAGTCCCAGGTCGTAGCTCAGAACATGGAGTACAGTCGTGCCTGTTTGGTCAAAGAGGGTCATGTATCGAGTCCAATGTTCAAAGGAACCAAGATGAAGCAAGAGGCAAATATTGATATTGACTCCATGTAGCTCTTTCCACTTGAAATGTGATGCACATTGACATTGGGGCGCTTGGAGGCCCCAACTGCGAGGCTTCCACCAAGAGCGTGGCGGCACCGCGGCACGTGCCTGAAGCCAAGCGCTGGACCCCAGTCAAGAGCCGGTTTCGATGGGTAGCAAAGGTTAAAGACCTTGATCATGCTTTGTTTGACTCTGTAGTGAACCTTTCTGTAAGTTTGAAAGAGGCTAAAGGAATTGTTTTTAAATCTCCACTTCTGCAAGGAGAAGTGGCCGATCCAGATGGGAATCATCGAGGCTCCAAACCGCTTAAGCGTACATCCAAACCCGTCGAGGCTCGTCGGATGACTTTCAGAGGTCAAAGGATGATGGATCCCCATTGTTAGAGGCAAAGAAATTCTATCAGCGATGAAGCCCCCCGAACCACAAATCGATGCGAGACACTTTCACTCTCCCAGTCTGGATCAGCTGGACCATTGTCATCAACATGGGTGCTCGGCAGGTAGGATTAGAACCCAATCTATCCTAATCTACATAGCCTATAGCTTCTAACTCCTACGGTCTTCTGCACCACCACCCCAGTTGCCTGTGGCGCCCGGTGGGGCGGCAGCCTGGTGCGACTGGTGCTGCGACTCGTGCTGTGACTGCGAGGGCTAAATCGATTGTCTGGCTCGAGATCACTTGTAGGTCCAAATCCTCCGAGAAGCAAATGCCAGCTCAAACCTTATATGGTCGAACTGTTCGATGATACATATAAGACTCCCGGTCCAAATGTTGGATCTGGGGCATCTGACGACGAAGCAGTGCATCTGACGTCCTTCGATCAACAGGTTTACGCCCTTCAACGAGGGGAGCATCAGCAGGACGAAAAAGATTGAACAGATTGGTCCATGGTCCGACGAAGATGAACAAGGAAGTCACAAACATGCGCACAAAGCTGGTGGGAAGCCGATGGTGCCAAGGATGAGTTGATGGTGGTGATGCGAAAACAAAGACATCCAATCACAATAAAAGGAAAGGTCTGATGACCACAAACATGCTTGATGACATTGTTGAGGACTGGAACGGGATGGCTCCTTTTCATGTTCTTTTGCAGAGTAAGGCTCGACGTAGTGGAGACTCCGCCTGACTGATCTGATCTGGCCTGTGGGTCAAAACCCAAAGCCCCTATCCTTGGTAGGTTGATCTGTCAGAGAGTCTATTCCGTTCATATTCCGTGGTCCACCGCAGTCCCCCGGTTTTGACCCACAGCCAAATGCCTGATTCCTTGATTTGTGCGATGTCAACTTACCGTGCCTTTGGTGGGCAAGTGACTGCTTACAGGCCCTGTCAATGCCGCCCAAAGACCGCCCCTGTGGTCTAGGACCAGGTACAAAGGGGGTCTGTACACCCAAGAAAAACGCTGGAACAGCGCAAGGTCATGACGCCGCTGGTGTGGTCGAAAAATACATGAAGGTCAAAGAAAAGACCTGGGAAAACTAACCCCAAAACACCCTGCTAGGGACATGTTTTGAGCCAAATCTCAAACCCATCTCGAACCCATCTGGATGGTGAACAAATGCATGAGCCTCGGACGGATGACGGAGGAGCTTTAGCGGGAGATCCCAGGAAGAGTCTTCATTGAGTGGGGTGTCACCAATTCCCCCAAAAATTCCTAAGCGCAGGTGATCCACCCTCCGCGCCCTTCCCCGGCCCTCCGGGCGCACTCCCACGCCTCAGCGCGGACCGGTGCGGTCGTGGGTGCCCGGTCCCGTGAAAGCGGTGCGGCGCCGGTGTCCGCGGTCTCGGGGTCCTGACGGAGCTCAGGTGGCCGGACGCAAGGCTCGGGCTTACAGTAATATGAGTATGGCTTAATTGTGCTCCATTACATAACTTTTACTAGTTAAGTTAGTTGGGAAACTTAACTTCTATAAACATCCTCGATCCACTTATCTCTTGGGAAACTAAGGCTAGGCGGCTAGGGGGCGGTGAACGCTGCCAGGTCCGAAACATTCCGAAACCAACTCTTACCTGTGGACCTACAAAAAGAGTTCAAAAACACTCTGAACACCTCTCCATCCATCTAGATTTCTCCATAACGTTGCAAGGAAACACCACACCGCTCGGTTGCCATTGCTATTCTTTTTTGAAAGGGAAATATCAATCCTTCGCATGACAGGCTTTTGTCCGGGAACTTGTCAACCTCAAGTCCTTGAGCCTTCGAACAAAATCGATCACAGGCAACACAGCTGTCTGGTATCTTGTCTGGCTTCTCTCACTGTGATATATAGCTTGGGAAGGCTCCGGAACTCTGCTCCGCTGCTCTGCTGTCAAAGTCTGTCCTGCTTGAGGAATTCCTGGGCAAAGTGAAAGCGTGGATCTCGATCTCCACGGCACTGAAACCTGGACGAAGCGCCGGGTGCGGAGGCTGCCAAGCCGTCGGGCTGCCTAGCGGGCGATCCATCCAAAGGGAAGAATGATCCAGCCCAGACCATCGATGTATCGAAGTACAGTTACATATAGACTCATAAATGAGGTCAATATAGCAACGAATCAACACCAATCCCACCCAGTCACACATGTCACACCCCGACCGATGTGGAGAAGAGTATCAGAAAAACTCTGCACAAGTTGCAAACATCACAGCGGTTCCGTTGGGTCAAATACCCACAACACCAATGTACACAACAGGAATCCAATGATAAATCCATGATCTGTAGCTGGAGCAGCTTAAACTAGGGCACCGGTGGGTAAATCCACACGGGATTCGGCACGCTTAAAAGAACAATTTGTCAACATCTCGAGCACCTCTTACTAACACAACCCCCTATATGCGCACAAACACCGGTGTCCGTGGATTATATCCCTTTGCCAGGGCCCAGTGGAGCATAATTTGTTGGATTGAGAGACTGTTGATTAATCAAACCCTCATAAGAAAAGGTTTGTGAATCCAAATGGGCGGAAAATTTTCATGAACACCACTGAACCCCCTGTTGCCTGACCAGTCCATCATGCAGCGAACAACCAACACCAGCAACACTAGGTTGTGCCATAGGTTGTGCCCAGTTGGTATCCTGGTGCCATTACCCACAGCCATTTCTGATCTGTCAATGCTGTCCGAGTTCCATGGACACATCAAAAAGCACCAAAAAAACGACATGGTTCATCAAAGTTCCTCTCAACAAGTAACAAGAAGCTAGTAGGCTGGAGGCCATCGCCATCGCTAGTAGGCTGGAGGCCATCGCTAGTAGGTTGGAGGCCAGCGCTACTAGTAGCTTCTGACTCTTTTGATCTGTCACTTGGAATCCTCAAACATTGAGTTTCTTTCAATGCATTGAGCGAATCGGTGGGATGCTGGGGGACCCGACTTGGTGGGTTCACCCGAAAATGGGACATGGTTTGAACAACAAAAATCAGGTACGGTACGACCGTAACGTATACTCATACGCGTTTGCAAAACACGCACTGAGACTACAGGTACATACTATATGTATCCCTCCAAAGTGAGTGAACAATGAGATGTGTGACAATCCCTGAAAGGCCAATTCCCTTCGACGGTTTTGATGCTTTGACATCTACCCCCTCAACACGGTTCACCTGAACAAATCCCGGCCATGAATGAATGGCGTCGACAGCCCAAGTCGCTTGCCCACATCACCCAAAGCCAGATCCACTTCCCTGCGGTGCTGATTGGAATGTTTCTGAGCTATCTTCTCTCACATTTGGGATCGCCACATGCCAAACAAAATGAAACTGCATTGGAATATATTGGAACCAAACCAATGGGGCAATAGCACCTCACACATCCCAGTTCTTTTTTCCAAATAGTTCTGGCTGTGGCTCATTTATGAAGAGATGTTGCTTATGCCTTGATGCTGCTTTGGTTTCTGCACAGGTTTGGCTCCAAAATGCAGTTGTTTGCCCCTCTACAAACAGCTATGAAAATTGTTTTTGCCAGATGAACCAAAAAGCATCTTGGCTGAGAACAAGTAGACCTCCTCAAAATGCACTGATTCTCCCCAGCTCATGAACCATTTCCTGAGAACAGGTACTCTGACTTTTGAATCCCAATCCAGCTCACCCATCCCAAATAAAAGGGTAGGTATTTGGACTCTATGCCAAGCCCTGAGCACGGGTGATTGCTAGGGACGCTTGGGGGGTTCGCCTTTTCTGGTGTTTGGACGCACGACCCTGGCAGAGCCTTGGTTCTGAAGAATCCTCACTTCCAGAGCAAACCCTCAGACCCTCTGAGACCCTTCCGTGTCACGTTCAATCTTCACACATATTTTTTGTGGCACGCCTTCGGGTTTTTTTGGGGATCTGCCGGGCCTGCCCTCGGCGAGGTTGTCGCCCAGGCGTTGGACCAAGGCTCGCATCATCGTAAAGACCTGTGGAACGACGCTGGATGAGACGAGACGAGAAGAGAAGAGACCAATGACCAACGATCCGAAGCGAGGTGAAGTGCCACGCTTTTTGGAATCCGTGTGGTTTTCTAGTTTTTTTTCCTCAAAAGACTCGCCTTGCCGAAAGCTTAATAGCTTCGTATGCAGGTCTATGTCACATCTGTCTTACATAACAATATATGTATTATATAGAACCCTAAAGTTTACGCTCCTTACTCTGTTCCAACATGACACTTGCGGTCTACAGCGGATCGGATTAACACGTCCATTTTTATAATATTTATAAGGCTTTCAGGTGTGGAAATCTGACCGCAACTGAGGTGTCGACATGTTGCACGTAGGATTCTAAGGGGAAAGGGTTTGTGATGTTTTAGAAGTCAAGAAGCGCAACTTTTGGCACCCCAGTGCGTTATTACTAGGTATTAGCCTTGTGTTTACAACTAATCATGAGA